TCTTAAGTGAAGCCATAGCTTCATTTAAGTCATCCCGCGTGATCAAGTCAACTCCACGGCTTCGGGCACTTCATCACCACTACCACCGTCGTCAACCATACTCTTCGGGTGGTGAAACCCTTAATAAAGAGACGAGGCTCGGATACCAATTGAAATGATTGATATGGTTGACTAGAGGGGAGGTGAATAGGCAACTAACAATTTTTAACTTATCTTAACGAATTAGGGTTAGCAACAAATAGGTTGTCTAGATATGTAACTAGGTGAGCAACCTATATGATGCTTGCAACACAAGCAAAACAAGCAAGCAAAGGATACAACACAAGTAAAGCTTGCACAATGTAAATGTAAGAGATAACCACAAGTGGAGACGGTGAAGACGAGGATGTGTTACCAAAGTTCCTTCCCTTTGAGAGGAAGTGCGTCTCCGTTGGAGCGGTGTGGAGGCAATGATCCCCAAGAAGCCACTAGGGCCATCATATTCTCCTCACGCCCTCACACAATGCGAGATGACGTGATTCCCCTAGTGGTGCCCTTGAAGGCGGCGACTGGACATTTACAAACAAAGTTGGGGCTCTCTCCACAACCTAATTGGAGGCTCCCAACAACACCATGAAGTTTCACCACAATGGAATGTGGTTCCGAGGTGACCTCAACCATCTATGGTGCTCAAACACCCAAGAGCAAAAAGATCTACAAGGGATTAGCAGGGGGAATCAAATTTCTCTTGGCGAAAGTGTAGATCTAGGCCTTTTCAAGCAATCCCTAAAGAATCAACAAGTTTGATTGGCTAGGGAGAGAGATCGGCCAAGAAAGAGCTTGTGAGCAACAATGGAGCTTAGGAGAGGAAGAGGTAGTCAACTAGAAGAAAGATGACTCCTTCATATAGTGGGAGAAGGGACCCAACCGTTATTTTCCCACTTCCCGTGCATAAGCGATAGTACCGCTTGGGTGAGCGGTACTTCCGCTGACACAAAAGTTCTAGCCACATAGTTCAACTGAACATGTCAAGGAGACGGAAGTTCCCCCGGAGCGGTACTATCGCTCCCACCAGCGGTATTACCTCATGGTGTTGAACTAAAGCCGAACCCGCGGTAGTAGAGAAGGGCAGGGCGGTAGTGCGCCCTAGGCCGTACCACCAATGGGAACTGCCGCCCTACTACCGCTCGTGGAACAGACCTTTACAGAACAAAGAAGATAAGTGGTACTCCCCGCGGTACTACCCAGCGGTAGTTCTGCTGGAGTGGTACTACCGTGGCGAGCAGCGGTACTTTCGCTTAGCCTGTAGGTGCCTAGTAAACCCACGGTAATTGAGAGGCAGTTATCCCTGTAGTACCGCATGAGCGGTACTACCGTGGCGAATTGCCGCTCTATTGCTGCCCGTTTACAGAACCCACAAATTAGACGGAAGTAGGAGCCGTACTGCACAGCGACAGTACCGTGGGAGCGGTACTACCGTTGTGTAGAGCGGTACTACCGCTTAGCCTGTTCTGACAAGGTTAAAACATAAGGAGGGACAAGCTCAATTGACGGGAAAGAACGAGGGTGCAAAGATATAGTGTACATGTTAATTCCACCCAAACCTTTCCGAAGCAGGCCCCCTCTTAATAGTACAATGTTCCTATGACTGAACTCTACCGAAAAAGAAACGCAAGAAAACACCGTCTTCATAAATATCCAGAGGGGTTCAAATCGTCTTGCGCCATAAGATAAATTATCTGAAATAGTCAATGCACACGATTAGCCTGCAAAAGCATTGTCTTCAATCACCAAAACCACTAAGGAAGAAATATGCCCTAACACCTTCAAATGTGAACTGAAAGAGGTGTTTGAGGCCATTTCACAAATGAAGAACAATAACGCTCTAGGGCAGGATGGTTTTCTGGCGGAGTTTTATAAAAAGTGTTGGCATATTATCAAAGGGAATTTTCTTCCGATGTTCCATGATTTTTTTCTCTGGACAGCTTCAGTTGTCGCAACTAAATTTTGGAACGATAACTCTACTTCCTAAGAAAGCAGAGGCCGTTCGTAGTGAGCAGTTCAGGCCTATCTGTCTTCTTAATGTAAGTTCCAAAATTTTCACCAAGGTCGGGACCAACAGGCTTACGTAAATTGCGCACTCTATGGTGCAACCGTCCCAAACAGCTTCCATGCCAGACATAAACATCCTAGAAGGGGTTGTCGTCCTGCATAAAACGCTCCATGAAATCCACATGAAAAAACTAGACGGATTTGTTTTCAAAGTGGACTTTGAGAAAGCGTACGATAAGGTCAAATGGCCTTTCCTTCAATGGGCTTTGCGTATGAAAGGTTTTGATCAGGCCTGGAGCCACCAAGTAGACTCTTTCACGCAAAAAGGAAGTGTTGGGATTAAAGTGAATGATGACATAGGTCACTACTTCCAAACACACAAAGGGCTGAGGCAAGGAGATCCGATGTCACCTATTCTATTTAACATAGTGGTCGATATGTTGACAATTCTTATAGGAAGGGCTAAGGATGCGGGCCAGGTAGGTGGCCTCGTCCCGCACTTAGTTGACGGAGGTGTATCCATTCTACAGTACGCTGATGATAATATCATCTTCATGGAGCATGACTTGGCAAAAGCGCGAAACATGAAGCTCGTGTTATGCTTATTCGAACAATTGACCGGGTTAAAGATTAACTTCCACAAGAGCGAATTGTTCTGTTTCGGAAGAGCTAATGATGACGAAGATGCATACAAGCAATTGTTCGGGTATGAATTGGGGGCTTTACCTTTCACATATTTAGGTATACCAATTCACCATCGTAAGCTGACCAATAGAGAATGGAAGTGCATTGAGGACCGTTTTGAGAAGAAATTGAGCTGCTGGAAAGGCAAGCTGATGTCATACGGAGGCCGATTAATTCTCATTTATTCGGTCCTCACGAGTATGCCCATGTTTCTCCTCTTCTTTTTCGAGGTACCTGTTGGAGTCCGGAAGAGGCTAGACTTCTATTAATCACGCTTCTTCTGGCAGAGTGATGAATTAAAACGAAAATACAGACTTGCTAAATGGGATATAATTTGTAGGCCGAAAGACCAAGGGGGTCTAGGGATTGAGAATCTAGAGGTGAAGAACAGATGTATCCTTAGCAAGTGGCTGTTTAAGCTTTCTGTTGAGACGGAGGCCACATGAGCTCGGATCTTGCGTAACAAATATCTTCACTCTAGAACCTTGGCCCAGGTGACAGTGAGGCCGGCTGATTCACCTTTTTGGAAAGGATTGATGAGAGTTAAATCACTCTTTTTCAACAGGACAAGGTTCATAGTTGGAAATGGTACCGCTACGAGGTTCTGGGAGGATACATGGCTAGGAGAGACGCCCCTCGCACTCCAATATCCTTCTCTGTATAGCATTGTTCAGCATAGAGACACTTACTTTGCAACAGTACTGCAGTCCACTCCGCTCAATATTCAATTCGGAGGACACTGGTGGGGAACCGTTGGGAATCTGGCTCAATTCTTGTGAGAAGATTGATGGATGTTCAACTGTCTCAACAGCCCGACCAGTTGTGCTGGAAACTACCTAAGAATGGAGAGCTTTCGGTTAAGTCCCTATACTTGGATGTTATCAACTTGAGCGCGATTCCTCGAACGAAACATGTTTGGAAAGTTAAAGTACCTTTGAAAATCAAAGTGTTTACATGGTTCGTGCATAAACAAGTTATTTTAACTAAGTATAATTTGGCAAAACGCAATTGGACAGAATCTACAAGATGTAGCTTGTGCGACCAACATGAATCTATCAAACACCTCTTTCTTGATTGTCCTCTGGCAAAAATTATGTGGCGGTTGGTTCACATAGCTTTTAACATTACTCCTCCGAATTCCATCAACACGTTATTTGGGACGTGGGTTGATGGGATAGATTCCGATACAGCGAGACATAATCGTGTAGGAGTATATGTGCTTTATTATGGGCAGTCTGGAACTGCAAAAATGATTTGGTCTTTAACAGAACAACAAGTATTTATTTTTTGCAGGTTATCTTCCGAGCCACTGCGTTGATCCGTATGTGGTCGCTACTCACTCCGACGGAAGCCAGGGAGCGTTTGGTTACTGGATCTACCCGATGGGAGATGGTAGCACGGGATATTTTCAAACAGTTTGGATGGCAGTCATGTAATATGATAGCATTTAGTGTTCCTATCTTTTTATGCCAGCAGGTTGTGGCTTTTCTATTACTGTTTTGCTCTTCGTGAGCCTTTTTTTTGTTTTGTTGAGACATGGAGACTTGTGTTGGACCTTTTGTTTATTAATAATCATGGCCGTATGCATCGTTTTGATGTAGAGCCTGGGGTGAACCCCCTTTTCGAAGGAAAAAAATCAGTTTCAAGGTATCAGCTAGAGATGCTCTTAAGTCAAAAAATAAAAATTCCGCAGTAATTATTCCTGTCTTACGTACGTACAGTAGCCAGTAGGTACGAAAGCTGACGAAGAACCGTAAGTACGTTTGCTGTAGCGAAGTGACAGTATTGTTTAAGCCTGAGTAAAACTCTAGTTCTACATCAGTCACCAGCTGGCTATCGAGCAGCATCGATGCGTGCATAAACACAAAATCTGCCTTCGCACTGACATGTGAACGCTGAAAAGGGCGTAAATCATGAAGAGGTTTGGCCCATTTGGGAGTATTAATACGCGGCTGTCAAGCTCACGCGATGTCACGTTACGCGTAATCATCCGGTAGCCTGACGTGCCATCGGACGTCAGGGAGGCTAATCCAACCGTGCGTCCACGATCGATCGGTCTGCGCCACGCGCGTCGCCGTCCAGGACTCGAGAGCCATCGCCATGCACGTCGCTCTCGCATAATCTCATTGCTTGGCTACCTGACGACATGGGCACGTATGGTTACCTAGCCTAAGTAACTTACGCGTGTGCATGTATATATAGGCGATCCGCCAGCCGACTTCTTGGAGCGTTCCCAAATCAGGCCATCTCTTCTTCGTCGGCTCCGACTCCGAGCTAGTGCGGTGATGGAAGAAGGTTTTGTGTTTCGGGGGTGCGAGCTGCCGCCGGGGTTCCGGTTCCAGCCCACGGACCAGGAGATCATCGTCTGCTACCTCAAGAGGAAGGTCGCCTCCGCCGCCTCTGCCGTCGCCTCCGCCGTCACCTCCATCATCGCCGACGTCGACATCTACAAGTTCGACCCGTGGGAACTGCCCGGTAAGAATGCATGCATGCATACGTACGGCATACGTAGCCACGCCATGCAACCAATGCAAAGTTTTGTTTCTATCTCTTTGACTCTCGTCCATGCACGAGCTTCCAAGAAAAAAAAAAATACCATTAGCTGCCGACCAGCTATCGGCACCCATTTTTAATACTCCTACACATCATCGTTCGGAACAAGACTACAAGAGAGAAATATTGTAATGCTGAATATACTGAGAAGTGGACGGAAGTTTGACAATTTTAATCTGTGCGTGCATGCAGACAAGGCGCAGTTCGGGGAGGGGGAGTGGTTCTTCTTCAGCCCGAGGGACCGCAAGTACCCCAACGGCGCGCGGCCCAACCGCACGGCGGGCTCGGGGTACTGGAAGGCCACCGGCACCGACAAGCCGATCCTGGCTGCCGGCGGCGCGCGCTGCCTCGGGGTCAAGAAGGCGCTCGTCTTCTACCAGGGCCGCTCCCCGCGGGGCACCAAGACTGAGTGGGTCATGCACGAGTACCGCCTCCTCCACGCCGACGCCGGCGCCGCCACCCGTCACAAGCCCCACGACTCCATGAGGGTGCGTACCAAACCATACGCGTAACTCGATGAATCTACGCACACACAGCTGGTTGTCGGTCAACTTAATTACATACTCTATTTCTTATGTTGGGTACAGCTGGACGAATGGGTCCTGTGCCGCGTCCGCAAGAAGGGCGTCGCCGTCGCGCCGGACATGGATGGCAACCCCGGAGCGCCGAGCCACGCGAAGGTTCAGGCAATTGATAGTACCACCGCAACCGCGCACGGCGCCTTCGGCGACGACTGGACCGACGGCCAGCTCCTGCAGTACCTGATGAGCGGCGGATCCGGACAGGTCGACGGTGCCGGCGCCATCAGCGTGGCGGCGGGCCACGTCCATGACGGTGCGCGACGCGAGAGTGCGCCGGAGGTACATCTGGCGTCAGTGCTGGAGAACATCAAGAGGGACCTCTCGTTCCATGCCATGGACGACGTGTATTTCCTCCAGCCCAGCAAGCGGGCCAACTGCATGGGAGGAGGTGCGGGCCACCACACCGACGGCGACCAGCTGTCGCCGCCGACGTCCTTGTCCATGTTCGAGGACGATTAGTTAGGTGTTGCCTTGCGCACGAGGTATATGCATGCACGTAATCTTCAGTCGACCAGTGTGAGTAGAGTCACGAGTACTCGGGTAGCCACGACTGGGGATATAAACTGTCATCGATTTTATTTCCTCCACACTTGAGGAACAAATTAATTTCTCAATCAGTGCAGCTTCATGTGAACAGTCACGCATCTCTAGCAAATATCCTACTGGTCACACCTCATAACTCATATGGCTATCCAGTACTACTACTAATGTGGCACCTGCTCATCGCAAAATAATAATTTAAAATGGCACCTGGCATCACTTTTGAAACTCCTAATCATTCGAACACTTTTGGAAGCGAAAGTTCAAATCTGAACCCTTCGAGCACTTACCCAAAAAGGCTTTCGCCCCGCTTTATATATAAAGCACCAAACCACAAGCATCCAGTATAAACACACGCCACGACACCGCAACACACACGCGCGCAGCAACACCACCCCTAGCACAACGGCCCCGAAAAAGGTGAGACTACATATGACGAACCATGCGTTCCGAGGTGGCACCTTCAGGAAGGATACGATATCGGAGCGCCGCCGTCGCCCGATCCAAGGATCAGAGTTTTCTCCGAGGCCGCATGACGGGCAATGAAAACCGCGACGACGCCTTCAAGAAGGGAACGATCTTCGCCGCCGCCGGTCCGTCCGAAGATAGAGCAGGTTTTCACCTCGGCCAACCTTCACCGCCACCGAACGCCACACCCCGGCAACCACGCCGCCCACACGACCATGGTGACCGGGCAGCACCAAGGCACGGGCTCTGCCCAGGAGCACCGCGCAACCACCATCAGGGCCGCCGCCCCAGCATCCAAGACCTCGACACCACCTCACCCGAGACCCGCCGCACCTCAACGAAAGAGACGAGCGGAAAGGTCTCACCTTTCACGCCCCTGTGCCACCCCCAGTGTCGAGACCCAATAGGTCGGCCAGAACTGGCATCCACCGACCCGTCCTGCTGCCCCGAGCGCGAGACGAGCTCGGTCCTGCAGCATCGAGAGGGAGACGAGGTCAGTCCTGCTGCCCCGTGCGCGAGACGAGCCCAGTCCTGCTGCATCGTGCGCGAGACGAGCTCGGTCCTGCGGCACTGGGCGCGAGACGAGCGATGGACCGCAGCTGGGAGAGGACCAGCCCATTGATGGGAGTAGCGCCCGGGCGACGAGGAGATGGGGTGAAGGTCGAGACGGCCCGACCACAGGCGAGCCGACACCGGAGAAGCCGGCCGCTGCCGCGGACAGATCCTCGAGCCACCGTGAAGCCGCCACGACACCGGGAGGTCACCACCGAGACCTCCCCACGCCGCCGCCGACGACCGGAGCAGCGGCCACGCCCGGCCGCTGCCCTACCCGCGTCGCCTGACGACCTCCAAGCACCGGAGCCGCCGGGCATGCACCACCAGAGCCACGCGTCGCCGGTCGGCCCCCAACGCCAGATCCGGCCGGATCCAGCAAGAGACCGGCCGCGCGCCACCTCCCGAGACGGGAGCAACGCAGCCGCCCCGCCGCGCGCGGAACGTAGGGAGCCGGAGCGCCGCCACCAGCAGGCCACCCCGTCGCCTCGCGAGACCGCCGCCGCGCCGCTGGATCCCGCGGACAACCAGCGCCACGACTCGAAGGGGCCGCCCCGCGTCGGTGCCTACAAGCGGAGGGGGAAGAGTGGCCCCGCTGCCGCCATGCCCACCGGGCTTTGCCCGATGGAGCTC